GTATTTAACTTAAAATTTTCGGAAACTGTTATAATTATAATTGAAAAGTGTGTCAGAACATCCTCCTGTAAAAACTAAAATCTAATTAATTATAATGTACAGATTAGAGTGTGCAATACATAATCATTTAGACGATATTATAAATAGACGCATTTTATAAACTGACCACAACATGTATTTAAACAACCGAACCAAAATTGACCAAGTAGGTACCTACATACATAATAATTTGTTTACAATGCCGATGCCTTTTAACTTTACTCCGTGATCGACTGTAATGCAACAAAAGATAGATAAACAAAAATGTTACTTAACAATGTGCATTACAAGTACACTAGGATTAAAAATAAAATAAAACTTAAAAGTATTTAGTAAACAACTTAGTAAATACAAGTTTTTTCAGAAAAAATAAGGCCGGACGGTAGACATATCGCTAACACAATAATCGTATAAGCATAATGGTATAAACTTCATATATTATTAACATTTTTATTACATTCTCAATGATCATAAATAATGCTTTTTTGCCCATGCAGAATAGATCCCGTGAGACTACTAAACGCTTCAGTAAGGCCAGTAACACGTTAAGCCTGCGATATTTTTAAGCTTAAATTTATCACTGTTACACAACGACTGGATAGACATATGAACATATATAGGAATACTTTCAAGTATTGCACATTTTAATTTTTAAATTATTTTTCAAGACAATACTCGTCATAGCAGAGGATACAAGGAGAATAACACAATAAACATAATTTCTGACAGCAACTATGTACTTAATTTCTTTACGCCCAGAGTGAAGAGTAGAGCTTAGAAAACTTACACGACTGTTTTTTTTTAATATGAAACAAGTAAAGGAGTATCAAACACAGTTGTAATTAAACCTGGTTCGCATAAACTTATAAAACTTTAAGGCCGGCAACGCACTCGGGCGCCTTCTGGCTCCTCGAGTGTTTATGGGCGGCGATGACTATTTCTCACCAGATGGCTTGGCAAAAAAACTTTTAACATAAAAACAGATGGCTTGCCCGCTCGTTTGCCCCCTATGCTATAAATAAAAAAAATAAAACCTAGATAAACCATGCCGCTGATAAATTACGTTACGAAACAGCAAATTGGTCCACTTTTACACCCACTAAGATTAGAAGGTTACGCTGCTAAAGCAATTGTAATATCAATGAGTTAACCAAATAAACCTACAAACAGAATTTACGTCAAAACATATCTTTAAAGACAACATTTCATAAAGTATTTTGGGTTTGATATACAAAACTACAAAAACTATCGTGTATTAGCGTCATGGTCACGACTCACGGGACATTAAAGATATTTCTTTACTTTAAAGCCAACATCGTTTGTGTGATTTCGCATTAAAAAAAAGGGCGTGATGGATATTCTTCTGAAATATATATTTTTATAAAGTAAAGATACCTACTTGACGCTTTTCGATCGAGAGTGATGCATAGTAAAAAGTCAGTACAACCTCTAAAACCATTAGAATAGAATTACACCATTGAAATAGTATTTTCTTTTTTTGATAACTCAACTATACCCAATAAATACCCTTTAGGTATCTCGAAGAGGTAAGTATAAAGTTAAACCAAAGTTGTAGCAGTGCAAACCTTTCTTACAACTGCTATCTATAGGTAAGAACTGCAAAATGATTGAATGATAAATGTTACGAAATAATGGTTTTAAAAAAACAAAACATGACTGTTACAAAAAAAATTCTTCACAACTAAGATCAAGGAACTTGTTAGTTAATCTAAAATTATTACTAAAGGCTGACAAAAAAATTGAGAGAAAACTTATTTTAATCTTACCAGTATGAGTATATTACGTTAATGTAATAGTATTTTTGGGGCATTTTATATAAAGTAAGACTTGAAAACATTTCTCTACCATACCTGGCTATAAATATTTTTTATATAAACTTGGCAGTTTTTTTAGCCCTTATTTCCATAATAACTTTTTGATATCTAAAAATGTTAATAATTATATTAAATAGTAAAATTGTAATTCCAATTTTCATTGGACTACTCTCAATGTGAAATGTTTTTAATTTTTATTGAAGCAACTTTACAATTTAGTCAAGTATAAGTACTATCTATTATTTAAGATACTGAAATCAAAACATTAATAGTTTATTTTATTCAGCTGTTTCTGTATATTTATGTATGCTTTTAAGAAAAAGGATTTCATGCAAAATAGTTGTAACCAATGTAGCAACTTAACATAGAGGCTTACAAAACGGCACTCAATTTTTCAAATAACCAACATGTTTTTATAGATTAAAACACCAGTAGTACAAAAACAAAAGTAGTACAAGAGACAAATATTACTGACAACAAAATTATAAACACCAATACAAACTAAAAACATATTTTATTCACATAAAACTAATTAAATACATCGCTTAACCTAACAAGATTTTAAAGAACTCATTCTGGAGCACCCTCAGCTAGTAATTCACGTTCGGCGGCTGCTTTATTCTCTTGTATCCGAGGACGAACCACAGTGATGTATTTGTATACATGTTCACCAAGAATAAGTGATCCATATAAAGTTAAACCAACACAGCATAGCACTACACCTCTGTGTAGTTTGTCGTATATTAAGTTACGTGCATATTTTTTCATTATTCCTAAAACAAAAAATATATATATCCAGTATTGATTGCAACACAAATAAAGGAAAATAATAGACGTAGTGAGCGATGAAAAAGATAGAAGTCCTTAAAATGCTCGTTGAATTAATACCACATCAATAAATCGCTAATAATTCAAATACTTGCGTAATATACAAATCACCTACCTGATTTAAATTAAATGTAATATCTTAACAATACAATTTAAATACAAATTGTTAACCAAAAAATTTTATTCTCACTTATGTCAAATTTACGTAATGTCAGATGTCAACCAACTTCAAATCAACTAAAGATAGTGTAAAATATTAATATTCAATATTAAAACGAAATAGAAGTTTATTTTTATTAATATTTTAAAAGGAAAATAAAATAAACTGAAACAGGCAATTGTTGAAATGTAGAATTTAAACTAACATAATTTTTATGCGACTCACATGGTTCACCCTTAAATTTATTAAAATAGAAGTCTACGGAATACGGATTACAGAGTACATGTCAACTTGAAATGAATATTTAAGTTTAGGTTAGTTTTATGTTTTTCCTAAACAGAAGCTAAAGTGAATAATACTGTTTCTTGAACTGATGACTATGCAAATGCAATACCGGTTTGCTATTAACTTATTTCAAAGACACAAATATATTGTACCCATACGAAGACTTACAACTAAAATACCTTTAACCCCTGTACCTACATTAGAAAGAAAACAAGCGAATATTAATAAAGTTGATACCAACACTATCGCACTGTTAGAAAGACTTTCTTTAGTAAAATGTGATACTGAGGAAGGTGTCAAGATTTTAGAAGATTCAATTGCATTTGCAGATAAAATTCTTCATATAGACACAACAAATGTTGAACCTCTCTATACAGTTTTAGAAAACGAGTATGTATTTTCAGTCTTTCATAATGGAATATATGTAAATTAACCTAAATTTTTAAGCCAAATTAAACAACATATATACATTTTGTTTTGCTTTGTTCTTTTAAGAACTTCATTCATATTTTACAGAAATTTAAGTTTACGTAGCGATGAAATTACTCAAGGAAACTGTCAAGCAGACATACTTAAAAATTCATCTGTGACTGAAGATGATTATTTTGTAGCACCACCAGGAAACATACCCCTTCATGAAGTTCAAAGTGAACTAGAAAATACAAAAGTTAAAAAGAATGAATGACATCAAAAAACTATTCTCCCTAAATAAATACTTCAATATAAAGACTTTCAATGACAAAACAATATTAGTTTTAAACAAACCTAGTAAAATATTATCAGAAAATATTTATCTTAGCTGGTTAACATCCATTAATTCAAAAACAAGTCAAACTTTTCCAGTTTATATTGGCAAAGATGCATCTCAAAAAAATAAAGAAAAACGTTTGGGATACATAGAACCAATAGTACCAAAATTCAATGGAATTATCCTCCAAAATGATGGCTCTGAGTACAAACTATTAGAAAACCTTAAATGTAAATTCAATATCATCTTTCCCCAAGAAGATCAGATGCAGTATTTCATTCAATTGCAGAGATATAGGAAATATTGGTGGAGTTCTGTGAGTAATAACATTATTTTCTATCCGATAACGAAAAATTGCCATTAAATAGAAAATAAATCTATTATTTTCCAATTTAAACTTGGTATTATTAAAGACCAATTTTGTTAAAGACATTTCTTATACATATTATGACAATTTAGTTTATTAGGAGGAGAAAATTTTCAGTTACAATGAATATATATTAACAAATTGACAATACAAATAATATTTCCTTTATTTTCACAGATTACAACAACACCGAGCTTGTTTACAATCAATGATATGAAAAATGGAGTAGAGAGAGCAGATGTTAATATTACTGCAAATTTTAACTGGGGCTCACATGTTGTAGAAACTATATATGTAAAGAATAATGTAGAAGTAACAAATGTAAGACATTTTTCTTCTTCTTCTTCTTTAATTAGTGGCGTTTCCTTATAGAAAGACATTTTTTATCTTTTCATTTATGGTTGGCTATTAATGAATAGTCTAGTATCATATAGATACATATATGTATATTTATTTTTCATTTTGTATAAAACTTTAGAAAGAACAACTCTTTACTGTGTATATTTCAATTTTTGTTTATTTTTTTAAGTAAAATAATTAAAAGAGATTTAAAAAACGAGGATAAAATAGGTTTTTTACCATGGAATCAACTTTAAAACTTGCATATTTTAATTCTACTTGATTTCATGCTTTTTTAGTACTTCTGTTCTTCTATTTACCATGAAAGTATATGTAAAGTTACCAATATTATGCTATTTCTTATAGAATTCCAATAGATCATGTCATCTAGTATGTACAATGGGATTGGAAACAGCATTAATAACTTTACTGATGGATGGTCTCACAAATGCAACATCGTACTTGAAACTACACAACAGTATGGCGCCATACAAGATATCATTTGCATTGGACAATCAAGGTACAAATTAAAATAAAATATGTATATACATTTGATGAAACAGAAGGTTTAATAAGTAGATGTATTTAACAGATCCTAAAAATACTCCTACATTAAAAGATCTGTCCAGTCTACTCCATAGTAAACTAAGTTTAAGGGATATATCAGCATGGCTACCAGATTTCACTCTATCATTACAAAGTCAGGTACGTATTTCATACAAATTAATACATATTACTCATATGTCAGATTTATTGTGATTTATGTAGTATTGTAATGAATAGAAATGTATACCTTACACATACACAAGTAAATATACATTTAGTATGAAATGTATCATATATGATATAGTGGAATTGTTTATTGAAATTTGAAACTTACTTGAGGTTTAAAATATTTATATTATTTCTGACTGCCATTATTATTGAAAATAATTATAATATATGCCTAGATTCAGCTTGAATACGTCTGCCAAAATATCTGCCAAATTTTTTTTAATGATAAAATGTATTTAATATTCATGATAGCAGGAAGTTTATAATCAAATATTTTACTTTAATAGTTGCAAATGTGTATTGTTACGGTCTACAAATAAATGAATTATTGATTATTATACTAACTTATTCATGATTTCCATTAAATATTTCATGCTACAGGTAAAGGAGAATTTAGAAATGGGTATAACATATACAGCCATCTTAAACGATAATACTTTGGTTGATGGAATATTCCACTTACTGAACAGTAGCACCATGTTGAAGGTATGAAGGATTATTAAAAATATTGTAATCATACAGAGATGTACAAATATAGCAATTAGTTATATAAAAAAACGTTTTTATCATTGGCCGTTTGAAGCAGATTTTTTTTTATAGTTTAACATAAATAATAATTGGTCTTCCATTTTCAAATGCTTTAGTTATCAAGGCCTAGATTTAATGATGGTGGCATAAGTTATGAGAAACCGGCTAATCTATGCTATACCATGCTAAGTGCAAAATCTATAGAAATTAATCATTTTTGGAAAATCGTTTAGACTTTGACGTTTATTATGAAGTCGTAAATCTTATTATCACGACAAACACGTGAAATAACGGTTTGTGCTTGATGTCTGTTTCCTTATATTTAATTTGTTATTTACCGTTTTGTTTCAGGAGCAAGTACATATTTATGATTTTGATTCCTACGCAGCTTTATTATGTGGGAAACAAAAGGCGAAATAAAAGGTTAAAATGAGTAGAAATATTTTTTGTTTTGTGAAAATATTTAAGGTAGAATTGTTGATGTTATTTAATTTTAGTTAGAAAATAAATGTGAAGAAATAAAAATATCGTTGAACCAACTTTATTAATGTCCAAGAAAACTACACTATAATGTGCGTAACAGTGGATTACGTCACCAAATGTCACTCCCAGTGATTCTTGCTGATAAAAACACATGTTCACTTGAAAATTTAATTCTTAATGCATACAACATTAAATCCTTAAAGGCTATTCGATAATGTTTGATCTAAATTACATTCATTCCTATTACAATGAATAATTTTATTCGTTTGACATTTACAAGTAGGTAAACCAATTTCAATTTATTTTTTAAGGTTTTTAAAAATTAATATTACCATAAATATTCTAAATTATCATCGGAGAATTATTGTAGTACATTATCTACAAACACAATGCATGTCTATACATCCATACAAATGTATAAGTTACTGCCATAAAAAAGTTTGTTATATAGAATTATATCTAAATGTAAGTTTATTGTGTCACACAGTCGCTATAGTGAAGTACAGTAGTTACAGAAAACGGTGGCCACATTAAATATACTCGATGAAGTAATACTAAATTGGTTTCAGTATAAAACTTACCTTGAACCTTAATTCCTTCATACAAATTCAAAAGCCTTAAGTCAATTATTGACGTCTCCTAATAAATCAAAAGATTAAGAAGTACAGATTAATTTATTAGAATGATAGTTAAGAAATAATTCACACCGCCAAATACGGCACTTTTATGTCTAGATCTTAGGTAATATTGTTGACTTATATAAAAATGTAGACACTTATGTCAGTATTGCACCCAAATTATTTAAGCTGGCAACTGAAGCTTCTTCCCTTTGAGAACTGAAAAATAAAAAAACAATATAATGAACACACAATCAACTTAAATTGCAATTATTTAAACAGCAATAATTAATCCATCTATTTTCAGGCTATGGGAATTGTGGAAATGATCATAATATTTGGATATTCAGTTTTATGATAAATTTTAAAAGTGAGAATTTTTTTTAGACAGTGACATATCGAAAAACTGATACAGATATTATAAGAAATAGTTTTAAAACCTGTCAAAAATTAACTAAATCAATTATATAAGATAAGATGCCCAAATTAAATAAACACTTTTGAAATGAATTATTAACATGTGAAATATGTCACACCTTTTTACTTAAAGGCGTGACTACTAAAGATTTGCATGGATGAAGAATTTAAAACAACCAACCAACTACAAGATAATTAACATAATATAGTGATAATACTAGTGACAAAATTAATACTTCTGTTACTAATATTGCTATTTCCCTTGTAACCTGCATTCCAACCAACTCAATACTCTTATTATTATTGACAAAAATACTAGATGATTATGTAATATAAGTCCCATACTATGTCAGATTACAATTTTAATCCCCAATTTTCACTTTAATACAGAATATATCATATAAATATACATTTAAAAAAATACTAAACATACTTGCTACACTATCAGACAATTTTGACAAAGCTACATACACCATAGTTTAAATGAATAGATAAGACTTCAATTTAGAATATATTTTATTACAATTGAAGTGAAGATGAAGCTATTTTGTTGAATATCCAAATTTTATATCCAGGCTAGGCTGCTTAAAATTATAACCACTAATTAGTGACAGAAGCTATCAGCTATGTATATGGTAAGAAAATTAATAAGACTGGTTTACAGAACAATCAAAACTCATTTCTGTTAATGAGATAATGAGTTTCATCATTAATTTAATGCAGTTTATAAATTATTTATGATATCTATCAACATTATGCTTATTGTTATAAGCAATACTTATTCAAAAATTCTTGATAAAATTAAAAATTATAATGAATATCAGTGAATATAGAATTTGTTCAATATTTATTAAAACCTTACTCAGATTTGAAAATTATGAACATGACAAACAAATTTTGCTTTATAAATTTTGACATAGTATGAAATATTTTTTATTATTATCATCACCAGATCTTATCAATATTTATAGTAATCAGTATAACTTCCAAGAAATACTACAACTACTTAATATATGTGAAATTAATTTGTTTCTTTAGATAGATATGTGTTTATATATATAATGATATCTTTAATTTACCTTTAGTTATGTAGAGATAGAAGAAATCACAATACAAAACCGTCTGTATGACACCGGCTACTATAGCAATCAGCTCGTAATGGTCCTCAAAGATGTAACGGTATATCTGAAACATAACACAATATACTTATTGAACTATCATAATAAATTATAAGCACATTTACATATCACTCAGATATTTTAAATGTAAAAGTAGATAAGAAGTGTGTTATAAAAAATATGCTTACCCAGTTCAAAAGATAAAGACCTCTGTAGGAACCCAAAGCAAACAAGTAGTGAGAGGTAATACTCTCAGCCTCACCGGTTTTTGATACCAAAAACAATTGCGGCAAAATTGCAACAGCCTCCAAATAAATCGAAAATGTCCACAAAACCTAGAAATAATATAGTTTCATTATTCAGTTAGAACTCATTGAAATAATAATGGCATAAAAATTTATTGTCATTGCATTTAAATTGGTGAAGATTGTTATGAGTTAAAGATAATATAAAAATTAGAACAATGAACTTAACTAACCTCCATCACGGTAAACTCGCGGTTAATCAGTAAAGCGAGGATCAAAGAGGGAATCAGCAAGAATTCAATCCTGAATGTATCGTGGTTGTGATCGTACGTGGCTTTGAATTTAACATACATGAGATAAACTGTGGCGTATGATGCCGCGATGAAAACTATTTTCATTACAGTATTGTATGCCGACACGTATGTCGTAAGTAAATCCAAGTATCGGGCAGTGTAGACTATGGAAAATAGTATTTGCGATTTTCCCGATATGCCTGAAATAGATATAAATGTTACAGTCTTCAAACATGAAGTGGCGTATCTGAAAATAATAAGAACATGCCGGTCTTATATTAATGGTTTACCTGCACATGATCTCGTTTTCCATATTTTTAGTAATAATATGATTATAGCTAACAGATGGGACAAGTCCGCAAGTAAACGGAAAATATTCATGATTTATGTTTTGGAAAAGCCTAAATTATGCGCCGCGTAAACTAACACTTAACAATCTTCTCATTCAAGCTAAAATGACGTGGCTGACTGACAGCCTGACAAATATTTTAAGTGTTTTCATCGCAAAAATATTTTGTTTGGATATCTACACTTGAAAATTTATAAAAAACTTTTTAGCGAGCAGAGCGTGCATGGAGCAGAATCTGATCTTACCAGCTGATTTTGACAATTGACAGCAGCAATCACTATTCATTTATTATTTAAAATATGAGAAGTTATTTACTTTAGTTTATTAAGTAACTTAATTTGAAGTTGCATAACATAATTAGGGTATACTGTAAATGAAAGATATGTTATAATGGTGAGAATAATAAAGGAAATTAAAAATCTATATATTTCCAATTTAAGATATTTACCAAGGTGAGGAAACTAACCTAACTGCAACTAAATACTAACCGATTGAGTATAATATTAAATTTTGTTTATTATATTTAGACGCTCATACAGTTCTCACAATGATACTAAGTTAATAGACGTCAGTAAAATAAGGAATTTTAGTATAGTAGCACATGTTGATCATGGGAAAAGTACCTTAGCAGATCGATTACTTGAAATAACGGGAGTAATAAAACCGGGAAATGAAAATAAACAAGTGCTAGATAAACTACAGGTGAGTTATAATTACAATTGAAGTCTATATATATTTGTTTGGACTCTATATGTCTGTTTATGTTAAATTACTTTTATAGGTGGAAAGAGAGAGAGGCATAACAGTCAAGGCTGTTACAGCATCTCTAAACTATACATATAATAATGAACAATATCTTTTAAATTTAATAGACACCCCGGGACATGTTGATTTCTCAAATGAGGTAATTAAAAGTTTTTTTTATTATTAATATATTTAATTATTGTAGTCTCTATATTGAATATGTATAACTTCAGGTAGTCCGCAGTGTAAGAGCATGTCAGGGTGTAATCTTCTTAGTTGATGCCAATGAGGGCATACAAGCTCAAACAGTTGCTGTACACTCATTAGCAAAGAGAAATAATCTAGTTATAATACCTACATTGAACAAAGTGGATTTACCTCGAGCTAATCCAGAAAATGTTAAAGCTCAATTAAAATCATTGTTCCATATAGAACCAGACACAGTTTTGAGTATATCTGCTAAGAAGGGATGGGGTGTGCCGGAATTGATAGAAGCTGTTATATCAAGAATACCAGCTCCAACGGTAGAAGTTAATAAGCCATTTAGAGCCTCGATAATAGACACATGGCATGATAAATTTAGAGGGATTATGTGTTTGGCTTATATAGAGTCAGGGTCAGTGGAAGTTGGTGAAAATGTAAGATGGAGATCTGACAGCAAACAGCATGTCCTTAAATACTTAGCGTTGTTGCGTCCTCATGAAGAACCAATAAAAAAGGCTGTAGCCGGGCAAGTTGTGATGGTAGGTGAGTGGAAGATATTTGGCACATAATTTAGACCATAAATTTGTAACAAGTACATATATAAGAATTGGTTGTATAATAATTGTAATGCGAACAGTGTGAAATGATTAAAAATATAGAATATATTGTGTTCGTAGTATTCAATGAAGCTATATTAAGTCCAAATTATTTGTTATTATTGTGCTAGCAAAACTGAATGACAGAACCTAATATAAGAAATTGACCTGCCTACACTATACTTGACATCATTATATTAATTTAACAATACAAAGTATAAGTAATACATTACAATGTGGAACAAAAAAAGCAATTTGTAGAAGTAGTAGTAAAGTAATAGAATGAGGATGGTCGTAAAGTAATAAATATGTTATGAATATCTCAGAAATATAATTAACATTTAACATTTCTAGGTTGTGGTCCAAAAGGAGGTGGATGTGTTGGTGATGAATTACTGTCCTTTGAATCAGCAGATGGTATTAAAGTGGCTTCAGCGCCAGCGGTCAAACACATGGTGTATGCTGGAATCTTTCCTTCCGATCAGTCGCAACATACACAGCTAAGTGATGCTATAAGGAAGCTGGCATTAAATGATTCCGCTGTTAGTGTAACTGTGGATTCCAGGTATGTCGACTTTTCACTTTTGTTATGAAAGTTGTCCAAACTCTAATTGAATTAAAATTAATATATTCTATCACGATTTTTTTATTCTTGTAATATTGAAACTACTTATTAGAAAACATTTCTCATTGCTTTACTGCTCAATGCCTGAAGTAAATGTTAACTTCTTCAGAACTTAGTAAGAAATATTTTATTATTGAATATATCTTATATAATGTTACAGCCCAGCTTTAGGTCAGGGATGGCGTGTAGGCTTTCTTGGTCTCTTGCATCTTGATGTGTTTACCCAAAGACTTCTGCAGGAACATAAGGCTGAGGCTATATTGACAGCGCCATCTGTGCCATATAAAATAAAGTACGTATTAATTTTTTACTACAAAAAAGAAACATAATACTACATTTATAATGTATAAACTTATTGCAGAGTTAAAGGAAGTAAAGCAATAAAACAGTTCAAAGGAGAGGAAGCAATAATTACTAATCCGTTACAACTTCCAGATTCACAGAATATAGAAGAATATTATGAACCCTTTGTTATAGGTAAAATTGATAATATTAATTGATTTATTAATACTTGTAAACACTGAGATAACAATTAAATCTAACTGTTGAGGATAAATTCCTATTTTAATGACCAACAATAAACATGATATTAGCCATATATCTTGTCATTAATTACCTAAGGATTACTTAACTCAGTTTTAGTAACTACCGTGAAGATCCATGAAACAAAAGGTGAACCTAGAAATATAGATATAATTAATTAACGTAACAAAAAATTTCAGGTACAATAATAACTCCTGTAGAATACATAGGAGCTGTTACAACACTATGTGTGGACAGACGTGGTACACCACTGCCATCTAGCGCTGTTGACGATAAAATGACGATGATGCAATTCATTTTGCCGCTATCGGAAGTCGTCATTGACTTCCATGACACTTTAAAAAGTTTGACTTCCGGTTTTGCAAGTTTTGATTACCAGGATCATGGTTTTCATCCAAGTTCTCTCGTCAGGGTAAATTAGTTATGATAATTATAAAATCGATATAGATTATAAAAAATGAACGTTAAATTACGCTGTCAGTGCCGCTACATTAGGAGATCACTGAAAATCAGTGTAGATGCAACATTGTTTCTATTTTTTAGAGTGGTTTTCCTTTTGGTTAAATTACACTGCTGCACACTTATTATTATTATTGATTTTTAACTTAATATTTGTCCTGTGTTAGTTGTAGGTGTTATGTTATTTTATTTTCCTTTTTTTGTATAAGTACATAGGATAAGTGATACTCTGTTTTTATTTTGTTGTTTGTTTTGTAGTGGTGTAATATTATAACCAATAAATTATTATTATTATAAATTATAGATAATGATTTTTTTGGTAATTTTGTGAATATTATTACAGATGGATGTTTTAATTAACGGGCTACTAGTCGAAGAGTTGACTACTATAGTACATACAAGTAGATTGGAATACAACGCAAGGAAATTAACAACAAAACTCAAAGAAATGATTCCGCGTCAAATGGTTCAGGTAATATACATTTTATGAGATGGTAGAGCGTAGCTGTGGTCAATTACTACAGCTCAAACATGGGCTGGCTCGACCGGGGAAGTACTACCCTTTCACAGAAGATCGGCGTGAAGTAGTCTTTAATGGCTGCGTTTCGCCCGGTGAGTGAGAGAGCCGGTTGCCCTTTCACACGTTTTCACGTTTAATATTTAATAAAAAATTTATATACATATATTCCCTACGTTTCGATTACTGTGCAGTAAACGTGATCACTGGCAGACAAAACATGATATGTGTGTGATGAGATGGCACAATGTTTTTTTATTCCTGAAATGAGACTTATTGAAAAATGTATTCTTTGTAGGTTGCCATACAAGCCGTTGTTGGAGGTAAAGTTTTATCACGGGAAACTATAAAAGCGTACAGAAAAGATGTCACTGCTAAATTGGTATGATTCTATAATTATGATTGAATAATATTAGTTTTCAATATTTATTTGTAACTATATTTTCAGTATGGTGGCGACGTCACAAGAAGAAAGAAGCTGTTGAAACAGCAATCTGAAGGAAAGAAGAAAATGCGAAGTATTGCAAACATAAAAATTCCAAGAAATACTTTTATAGATGTATTAAAAAGGTAGTCAAATGCGAATAAATAATATTTAAAACAGGTTTTTTTCCTTAATTCGCACGTATTATGAAATAAAATACATTTTACTTATTACTAATTTAATAAAAAAAACGATTATAAGTCCTTGCATGTCTAAAAATAAAATAATTAGTACAGTGGAATAAAACAAGCAATCTATATGTATTGGTAATTACGAAAGGAAAATGTTAACAAGCCTTATATACATTACATCACAATTAATAATATAAATAATAATAATTTGGTAAAAAAATGTATAATGTTTAAATATCGTCAATAAATATCTGTATTTATTCAATTATAACAAACATGGTAATTCATCAGTCCACCTCAAACTAATAAAAAACTAACCAGTCTTATGTACTGTTAACTTTTTATTGAGAGTAGATGTAAAACATACTTTTAATGGTAGAATAGTATTAAGAAATAATTTCTAATCAAGTATATATTTAACTACAAAAAATTTAAAGATAATTAGTGACATTGAATAGTTTTTAGTCTTATAAATTGTTACATTTTTCTATTTGATATTTTTGTTTTTGGTGGACAAAATATTTTGGAAAAGAAATATGTATACTTCTCAACCTTGAATGATTTCTTTGAAAATTTTATTTGGTTTATATATTTAAGTCGAAAAACCTCATTATGCTTGCAATAGATATTCTTACCTTAACTAAGGCACTACAAACATAATTTAGTTATGGAAATACATAAAATATTTATATGTAACACTAAAATCTCTGTTATATGCGATATTCAGGATTTTGAGATCTATAATTTATTCTGCATACAAACTACGTACATTCTAAGTTTTATAAAATCTTTTAGATAATTTTATACAACAATTATAAACATACAAATGATGTGTATCAAAATCGAGCACTGCATTCCTGAATAATATTTCTTTGAAACATTATCACCTGTATTTGGAACCATTCACTTATATAAGGAATTAAAAAAACAATTAGCCTCAATTTACAATGAGTAAAGAATCGAAAAACACTATGCATTTAGGATTTTAACATCAATAATAGTATTATCAGAAGTTGAAATCTAATGACAGGTTTTTTTTATTACAAGCAACCATAAAATATAGTTTTTTATAAGGCCAGGACTATACAGTGCTAATATTTAACAATAGAGTTATTTTCTTTAAAACAAAATCACATTTATCTGTCCTCCGATGTCTCTAGGAATTGAGCATAAACATCTCTTGTACATTCCCCTTTATCATTGAACTTATATTTGTAATAAGAACCATCGGCACATATCACTGAAAAACAAATGAATATTGTTAAAAACAAACTATTATCACAATATATTATGTCATTATTACCCAACCAAAAAGGTTAAATATATTTTTTTATTTAAATAAAATATGTATTGACAAATAAGGTAACAGCAGATGTAGAAACAAAACAATAATGTTATAAACACATTCATTGTTTGATAATTTATTTCATATTTATAGAATTACTATCAAGATACTAACATTACTTTCATATTTCTGAAGATATTGTTTTGTAAACAAGATAATGGATACAAAATAAATCAATCATTCTCTTCCCAATTGACATATTACTAAGATTTTACTTTCGCACATTAACTCATGTCATATTATATGTGAAATATTGTTTGTAAGTGTTATTCTTAAGCTAAATTTATGGAAATTCTTGACAAATTTTATGTTTAATGAGTAAGTATGTAAAATCAAAATGTGTCTAATAATATTAATACATTGGTTTTCTATATGTTGGTTGGAGATCTAATATATTGGAACTATCTTGGGAATTTAGATATGGGTATCATTTAAATTAGAAAGAGGCAGTTTGTTGCTTGAATGAGTGACATATTAGTGATATGAGGCATTTAAAGTAAGATACTTCAGATATTTTCTTAATGTAGATAGTTATAGATTTGAGATTTTTATGGAAATTTTAATTAATGATTTAGGTCCTAGGATACTAAGCATTTCTATGGTAGTAGGCAGGAGTTGATTGTGTTTGATATAATAGACAGTTAGACAGAGTGCAAGAGAGACAGAGTTGTTGTCATCATAAATTGTTTACTGCCTCTAAACAAAGCAGTAGCAATAAAAACAAAGTTAATAAGAGAAAGTAAATAAAAGTTAACATCTTTAATTGACTACGACATCTGCTAAAAAACACCTTAACTTATCTATATATCACTAAAATGTATCAAATACTTCAATTTTAAATTGTTTATTAAATAAAACTTACCAATAATAGAACTTTTATCGACACCAAACGCACAAATGCATGGTGGGCCATTTGGTATGGTAAATTTACAGAAGCTCCAGTTGCTTGAAAAGTACTTTGGTAGAAAGTTGACAGTTGCAAGACTTGATTGCTTGTTTAACTTATCATCCTCTAGACTAAATACATGCACCGTTCCATGATCTGAAGTAACACACAGGTTCGTGCTTGTGTGGTTGAAGTTTATACAATAAATTGTAGCCTGAAATAGTATTGATATTAAATATTTGAATATTACACTTATTTTAAGCACAATTTCAATTATTTGATTTGTTATGTGATAAATAAAAGTAAAATTTTTGTATTACCACCAGTTTTTTATTATTTTAAACTACATACTCATACGCATAATAAGTTTGCAGCGATCATGATGATATACAGACGAGTTGAGTATGTAGTTTAAAAGGGCATAATAATCCGAAAATATACATTTTATTCAAATAAATACTGGCGAAAGTCTTAGATCTTGTTATGATATAATGATGTGATATTTCAAGCTATGTTTATAAATATCCCTTACTTGATGAGCACCTCTCCTAAGTTCAGCTAACTTCTGACCAGTGTTTGTATCGAAAACCCTAATAAGTGTTCCCTTGGTGGATGCGGTTGCCAGTCTAGTACCTCCCACATTGAGGGCCAAACAACTCAATGGAGCTTCATGCGCTGATATTAGATGGCCTTCCGGTGTATTACTCGTCCCGACATGTGTATTTAATTCCACCAGCTATTAAAAACAAACTACCATTATGGTTACCAGAGACAATGATATATAGATAACACTAATTTGAGTTTATTCTGATACATTTGTTTAAATGTAATACTCAATAATAATATTTAATTTTCTATAATAACATCCTATCTATCTGTTACCTGCACATGACCAATTTTCCGACTTGGATACACAAGTAGTGCATTATTGCTGTTTGGACACACAACACACAATCCTTTAGTATTCTGACATGTTTCAAACACATGCAGCATTTGTGGCTGTGCAGTGAATGTATACACTTTTATCAAGTTTTCTGAAATTTATAATGATATAGGTAAAGGAAGATATATTGAAGCAGTTGGATTTCTTGTACAAATTATGTATAACTTACCCAAAACAACTACTATGCGGTCTCTTCTAAGTTTCACAGCTTTGACAGGGCTATTAAAGTCTAATGATATAGCTGAATCTTTCTTAAGGTCGTCCCATATTATCACTCTATTTGGAGGATAAACAGGTGTCTTGCCTCCGCCGACTAGAGCCATGTAATTGCAACGAAATAGCATTTCGACGTACGAGAGTCCTCCTTCTGCGAAGTTTTGTCGTTCCTTTTCTTTTAGTGGGTCGCTGTTGAAAACTCTAAATCCATTTTCTGTTCCACAAGCAAAGCAGCCTGAAAGATTACAACACAATTATGCAAAATAACAGTAACTATTAGACACCACTGAGTAGGTATGTTTTCACTTTTCCAAAATGTAGTTGTGTTTACCTTGATCTTGGTTAAAACCCACGTACAGAAGGCCATTTGAAAAGTTATTTTCTTCTGATAGGTTCATGGTTAGATTTTAAAAACTTTACATTTACTATAAAAAACAAACAAAGCCTAAATAATCATTTCACTTTGCGGCTATTTGACGATTGACATAGTTGATACTTGATAGACATTAATAGACAAAACATGTTGACAAAAAATTACTGTCAAAAGTTGAAATATACGTCATGCAGTAGTGTTAGACAGATAAAATAATGATACAATATATTGAACTGTATGAAAATACCTAGTGTAACATATATAAATTTTCAAAATCGAATATCCTCAATTTTTAAATTATAATATAAATTTATATCAAATTGGTAAGTCAAAAAGAATCATTTTATTTCTTAAAATAGATTATCCAACGAGTTGAAGCCGTCGTATTAGAAAATTTACATTTTGTAAGTTTTCAAAATTTTTGGGGTTCAATGGTTTTTAAACTATGATAGACATACAGAAGTATTAGGTAATTTTTTCCTCTGAAACAACACACAGTATAGTTAGGTACGCTATAATAATAGTAATAACTTGGATGGTGGAGGTGAGAGATAACTCACGTTAAACTAGAGCATTTTAAACCTACACCTGGGTCGCAAGTCCGAGACATTGTTGTCCCTGGAACGCAATGGACCTGGCACCCGCACGGCGAATCCATGGAATACTAAGAAGTTTTGAAGACCACATAAGAAGGATACTAGAAAAGTGAAAATTAACATGTAATACCTACCTACTTAGAACCTAGTTTCATTAATGTTTGAATAATAAAATGATTCAGTCAGGAGACAAAAAAAAAATGTTTTAATTTCAATCCGTCCGTTTTAGCATAACCAGAAACTACGCATTTTGTGTATGAATTCCAATTTTCTATGTATATTATTCATAGAATTAATTGAAATTTATTTTTAGATGAGAGATAATTCTCATAACTACTTAAAACATAAAATATCAAATAATGTAAAATTATTTTGGATACATTATGGGTACGTAAAAGTAAAACCTTCTCTGTACTAAACAATGCCGTAACTTCATTTAAGCCCTCGCTTTTAGAAATCTTTGTGAGGCTTTTGAAATGATTGAATTTTTTCGCAAGCATTTCCATTCTCATTACTTTTATGTTAGTGGATCTTTTATATTTTTACTTGTTACATTTTTATTCAAGCTTTGTCTGAACAATGTTAAAGAATTTTTTGTGAGTATTTACTAAATAGAGATTGTATTCTACTGTGTCTAAGAATCAATAAAGAAATTAAAAACGATGTATGTATTCAGATAAATAAAAGATTTATATATGATACTCAAAAGAACGTACATACTTCATTGTTATCACTAAGGAAACATTGCTTTGTTAAATACCTATATACAAATATTTCAATGGCTATATTTCTGATAACAGCAGAAAAACAATAATTTTAATCATTTTAAATATACCTTAACATATAACATTGAAAATAATCATTTCAGTTCACCACTGTAGACTAAAAAAGTATTCATTAAAACATAAAATTAAGCATGGCACAAAATAGGCGTTGTAATTATAATTTGAATTATTAAATCATTTATTTATAATTGTTAAATTGTAATTAATTTGTTGTTATGCTCTTTTATTATACAGGGTGACTGGTGAATTACTATCGATACTTGAGGACGTGATATTTGACGATCATATATGACAAACTAAAAATTAATATAACATAAATATTAATAAACTTCTAAGTAAAGTCAACCAAAAGTTATGTAATTAATTACGCATCGTGTGAACACCCTACAGATTAGGTATACACTCACACACACATACGCGTGTGGCGGCGTAGTGTTGTATCAGCACGCCGCCGCACGCGTCCACACTTGGAACACTTGGAACGTGTCAACACTTTGTTTATTTATATGGAAATTTTGTCAAAAATTAAGTGCCTAATTTTTTTACATAATCCGAATGAGAATCATGTACCGAGTATTCTCCTAAAATATTGATAGTAATTCACCAGTCACCCTGTATATTAAATGATTTTATTTGAAGAATGAAGATGTTGTAACTCTAGTCTTATTATACCATATCCTTGCTCACTTCAGCCTTGATCTAACGTATTAAATCTACATCAGAGCATCATGAGGGCTTCAGAAATCTTATTCATATGTGGAATGAAGAATTGATCTTTGAGGTGGAACATTATGAAACCTCACATGACTTTATACGATGCATATTTTTGTTAAATAAGTAACGTAATATTAACATTTAATGTGACTACTTCGTAAACAAACACCGATTATAAGAAGTCATTTGAAACTATTATATAAAATAAATGAATAAAAAACGATAATATTAAATAATCAGAAACTGTTACACAAATTGCGTTACACAAACCGATTATAAACATTTAACGCTCGCGAGCGCAAAATTGCATCGTTTGATCGGAAAGCAGATATTTGTTGATCTAATGGCATTTTCAATTTGCATTCAAATTCCTGGTCTAGTATGGCTGTACCGCGGAAGGCTGAATACCTAAAGCTCGAATGCCCAAATGCTGTACTAGAATGCTCCAATTCTCGAATCGGATTATCTCTAACGACGCACCATTCAGTGTGGCTACTGCATCGGGACTCATTCAACTTCGTACACTCCCATCTATTCAGGAAAATAATTTGATCGTAGCTGGTACGGGGATTTTGAAAGATATGCTTATATTCGTAAATATTTTTTCAAACATATTATGATTTAAAAGCACTACTGATATATTTTAAAATATTTTCCTTCTATTAAATAACGAAAATGTATGAAAATAAGTTATGATTATGTTTCGATTGGCAAAGATAATAATTTAAATAAATATTTTAATTCTATTAACGTCAATTGTGCTCAAACTAAGGATTAAAATGTCTTGATTTCTTTTTAAAAATACTGGATAATTAAAAGTTATTAATATAATTCTTTAATTATTATATTTTTCCAGCATCATACTGATAGGTTTCTTCACGGTGACGATGTAAAAGCAAATAACGACAATACAAGCGTATTGAAAATGCTATCCAGTATAATAGAAATTAGTACAAATAAAAAAGTGACGTCGAAGTATTTATTTCTATACTATGTAATGTATTTTAACAGCTATAGCACTGGTTAGCCTTTTATAACGTGCAATACATAGTTATTTTAGATTCTATTTGTAGCTGCAACTCATTTTTAATTCATTTTAAGATGATTTTTTTGACGCGTAGTTAGGTGTGTATATTGATAATAGTTTCGACCTGGTATCCAAACAAAATATCTGATTATTCCAATGTGTCTCCTCCTCTCATAATATTTTTAAGTAACAGATTACTTAGATTTTTGGTTGTAGTTTATTTATCAATCATTAAAAGTTGTAAATATTCTGGGTCACATTTTTTTTGGATACAATTGTCTCGCGGTACTTCGGGTACCAAACTTTCGAATCTCATCATTTTGACCGTTTTGTGTGTAAAATATAATAGTTGTAGAGCGTTGTTCTAGCTTTAGTTGTTAAGAGACCATTTTTTCTATTGTCGTTTGCAATTGTTGAAATTTTAGATCTGAACCTGCGTCTATTCTAATACTAACCATAAATTTATTCAGATAAATTTTTGATAGCGTCAGGATTCTTACGGTATTTTTAGTTTTAACGGTAGCAATTAAAGTTTCCATCTATTGCGTAAAGTATAACATATAGTATATTATACATATGACGTGAATATATAGTATTACCTACATATGATAAAATAAGTCTTTGGGTTACATCTTATTTGTTAATTAAAGTCAGTTTGTCACCCAAAAACGACATTAAGTGATAAAGTAAGAAATAAAATATACTTTATTCTTCTTCTTTTTCCTGGAAATTTCTCAGCTTAAGCCAGGGTCTGCCTTACATGTTGTAAATAGTTTTGGCTAACTGTTTTTTCGACCAGCAGCCTGCCTGACATCAACCCTCTTTGGGAATGCATTAATCACCACGCTTGCTCAAGACGGGTTGGTGATTGCAAACTTATAATTGTGAAATTATAGGTAAGTCCAGGTTTAATCACGATGTTTTAGGTCACCGTCTGGCAGTGGTCTCTAAATACTCTCAGAAAGTACATATGACTCGGAAAAATCACATTGGTATTTGGCAGGATCGAACCCGCGCCCTCATGCATCAGAGGCGGGCCTTTAACCACTAGGCCACCACGGACTCATAAAATATACTTTATTATCAGTAAAGAATTTAATTGTGAACATTAATAGAGATGACTGGTTTTATTTATTTGTATTATACTAGTATACTGGTTTAAATTAAACAATTTCACGATTTAATAGAATTATATTTGTTTTAATTGGATTTTAATTGCAAATTGAATTCCTGAACCATGCAATCCATGCGGCATTTTCTAATATCGTCAAATCTGTTGTCGTTTCCACCACATTCACTGTACAAGAATTTTTCGCAATCATTTTTCTCTGGATTATAATAAAATCTGAAATCAAATGCAAGTGATGTATCATTTTATAAGAATAATAAGAGCCGCAAAATTTTGAGAAAAGAAACCTTAAAACGAATACATTTTTTATAAAGTTCCAAAATACAATCCATTCCCAAGAATCTCTCAAGATGCACTTTTTCCGAGAAGTTTAAAATAGTCTGAAGATAACATGAGCATTCGCAGTATCATAGAAATGGAATACTTGTAATATGTTTAAGTAGGGAGCAGTACTCAGAAATCAGTAATAGGATTCTTTCTCATCTTATTCTATTATAGAAAAACTATAATGATTTTTAAAACATATTATATAAATAATAATAAATTGTTAGGTTACAATAATGGATGAAGTTCGCAAAACGGTGGTCTATTTTGTTCAAGAATTATATACTAGAGACTCATTATTACAATGTTTCTTTAATGAATATTTATTAAACTGTAATTTGTTAAACTCTACCTGGTAGTATTTTTGTCACAATAGCCTCTGTCAGGAAGATTCAGGCAATACAACGGTTTCTGGAGCTCTATGTATTTTGCTGAACCTATATTAAATTT